GGAATTTTGAGTTAAACAATTTTGACATTGCTTTACTCTGTATGTTTCAACAAGCTATAAAGAATTGGAGTTCCTCAAACTGGGGTTAGGTGTCACAGACCTTCTGAGATAATGAAAGCTAAGTATACATACAATTTTACCCACAATTTCTGGGAGACTGTAGACCAGATAAAAAAGAATCTTGTGGTAGATCTTTTTTTTTTTTCTTTTAAATAGGGAGAAACTGGAATCCTAAAAGGCCCAATATAAAACCTGGGTTTGTCATGAACCCTAGGGATAATTTTCTGAAGCTGAAAATTTTTATCTATAAGTATCTTGTCAGTCTCAAGGTACTTGGGGCAAGGAATTATTCTAACATACAAACGCGAGGGGGAAAAGGAGGAAGGGCTATGAAGAGACGAAGGCAGGAAAAGGCAGGGGAGAGGAAATAATATTTACTGAGCACAAACTATTTGCTAAGTTTTATACTATACTACCACATATATTATTTATTAAACCTTTGTAGCTATATGAGGAAGGCACTGTTACCTTCATTTTACAAATGAGGAAACTAGAGCTCAGAGAACTTTGGTACCTTGCCCAAAGTCATACATACCTAAAAGTAGTAGACCTGGATTTAAAGCAAATCTACTGACTCCACAGGCCATGCTCTTTCCACATCCACATTCAAATTATTAAGCCCGAATAGGACCAATTACACTATACTCAGAAGTCATCTGTATTTGTCTTAAGATTTCTTTCAAGAATTTTTTAAAGTCGCGTAAGTGGAAAGTATGCAATAATGTTATTGTTTGAGTTACTGCACATTAGGCCATCCTCTGTCAAACAACGTAAATCTAATTCGACTGTTAGGAAACTTAACTAAAGGATGCAGAGGAGGACAGACTTAATTTAGGGGTAGGAGATAAAAAATTTTTTTTTTTCTTTTTAAAAATCTGCCATGTTGTCTGTTTCAGATGGAAGTTTCCTGGAGAAAGAACATATATTTGTTTAGTATGAATCACTTTATCCAGAATTCCACAGTTCATGTGAATACCCCAGAACTTGATGAAGTCATGCTGGTTAACCAACATAACATACCTTCCTATTTATAGTATTAAGGTAGAGGCTGCTTTAAAAGTTTATTAAGTGATTTCATTCTAAAAGCAACAAACCCTGAATAAAGTTGAAGTGAGACTGTAAAAGACCTACCGTAAACTAGGGTCTGAGCTGCCCAAATTAAGTAACGCAATATTGAGCAGTGTCCCAGGGACGTCTTTTGGCCGAATCTTGGTGTGCTGGGGAATGGAGTCAGGCTGTGACAGCTCCCAACGTGTCCGGATGTGAATGATGGACTGGACAATGGCTTCACACTCCTGGTGCATGAAGGTGAGTGGTGTGCCCTGGTTTGCAATGGTTAAGGTGAACTGGTTCTCATCCACTAGGCAGATCTCTTCAATTTCCGAGGCATAATAGATATCGTTTAGAAAGACTGACTGCCCCAGGACTTTTGTTCGTTCTGCTGAGGTTACCTGAACAGCAGTAGAACCAACCTGGAAAGTGGTAGTGAGGGGATGGGGTGTAGAAAGAATTAAATCCTATTATGTAGACTTAAGAGAGGCACCAAAAACCAACCAACCAATCAGAACACCATGTTTGCCATTTAAGGAAGAGTTACCACCATTATATATTCAACCAGATTCAATAATGATTGTGATACATGCTCTTAAAAGAGACTGAATACATCAAAAAAGTTTTTCCTTTTCAACAAGCTAAAGAATCCCACAGACAATTACTGATTTTATTCTGAAGGTTCATGTTCCTCACTCTGCAAAAAGTATGTAATAATCAGAACTCCGACTAGGCAATTTCTACTATTTTCCTACCATTTGCAGGTATGAATATATAGCAAACTTCCTCTCTCTAACATTCTTCTGCCTCCAACCCAATCTAGAACATAATTAAGTGTACACTTCTCACATCTTCCGCAGGACCCCCATGAAGATAAAAATCTTGGTCTTCCTACATCTGGAAATCACTTCACATGTGACTCACTACTATGACAGGGACACCTGGAGGAGTCAGGATGTATTCTGGTTAGTGAGGAAAGGCATGAATCATTTATATAACACGGAGCGAAACTTACTTTGATAGAAACTTTGGTGTCTTTGTGAGCTAGCTTGAGAGCGTTGTGGAATACCTTCAAGTCTTCTTCTAAGGCCAAGGTGGCAGCGGGTAGTTTCTGTTGTTCATGTTCTATGTGCTCAGCCAGTTTCCCAGGACAGTCTATGAAAATGAGCCTTTTGCTGCCTTTGAGGCCCGTCAGCAGCCGCTCATGATACTTGGTGTACTCCCTGACCCAGGAGTTACAGTTATAGACATACACTGCACTGACATTGTCATAAGCAAAGCCAGGAAAAACAACAAACCACTTGGAGAGAAAGTCCGTTTTAAAGCGATTACTAGGCCCAGTATGGGTAAGGTCCACTACAATTTCATATGGCTTTGCATAATATGGCTTTAAAGTCAGCAAGACATGGTATATCAGCAAGTCACCATTGATTTGACCAGTTTTGAACCTAAGAAAAATGACAAAAAGGGCACAGATGGTTAACAGACTTCTGAATATATATACAGGTATCACTAATCTATTTTATTCCTTTATTTTCTGATTAGTTCTGTACAGAGAATAATAGAACACAATTATACAAAGTCTGGATCCATTCTTTAAATCAGTTGTTCTTTAGACATTGAAAAGTAAGGCTAAGGTACAAAAAGACAAATCTCCAACATAAAAATTCTGAACAACAACAAAAACCCAAGGAAACAAACTTGCCCATCAAGTCAAGAAAGGAGGAAGGCAACAGACATTGGTTGGTTGCCTCCAGGCTTTTTAAATATCCCAGCTGAACAGTGTGGGTGGGAATGACTACCCCGGAGCTCCGGAGTGAACTGAAATGGCTTTAGCCTATCCATATATCCAACCTGGACCAGAGACTTTGGTTCAGGAATGAACACATGACTCAAATCAGGACAACCAGGGCCAAAGGGGTCTGGTTCATGGACTTTGGTTTAAACTCTTAGGAATAGAGACCTTTTCTTTCCTGATGTTTATGAACAAGGAAACACGTAGCCCTGGGAGCTGTTAGCTCATATCTTGGAGGATGAAGGAGAAGCCTGTCTAAGAACTGAAGAGAAGGAGCTGAGAAGCTGAGAGAGAAACCAGGGCCCTGGCCACATGATTTGAGTTCTGGATAATTCCTCTCCTGGGGCCAAGTTTATGCCTGGGCTATTCAGTTGTGTGAGCTAATGAATTCCATTAATTGGTTTAGCCATGTTAGGACATGAATACTTATAACCAAAAGAATGCTAATTGATGTCAGTAACCATGATGAGAACACGAGAGCCCAGAAGAACATGTTACTAGAATTTCTAATTAAAACAACCCATATTAACTTACCCCTAATAGTCTATGCTTGATGACTCTGGTTATAGTACTACAAAGTAGACTAAGAAATATCCTCACCTCAGAGTTTTTCATCTTTTTGGGAGGGGATAAGATAAAAATATGGCAAGTTATGATTTTAAAACAAAAGAAAAATATTTCAAGATAAAAGAAATGAGGTCGTATACAACCATTTATCAAAGGACCTACAGAGAAAAATACAGCTACTGAGTTCAGAAGAGGCAGAGATCAACACAAACTGGGTAGTCAGTGAAAGCTATACAGAATATGCAAGGGCTGAACGGGGCAGGAGTAGAATTTAGAACTCAACAAGAGGAGGGGATCAGGAAGGCATCATGGAGGGAGAAAAACTGGCAGAGAAATACGTAACTGGATGTACTGAGAAAACAGTCAACTAGTTTGGCTGAAATGGAGGATTCAGGTAGGATAGTTTTGAAAGATAAAGCTGGAAAAATAAATAATAGCCAAACTGTGAAGGGATCTTAACTGTTTAACCAAGGGGCTTAGATTTTCTCCCGGGGGCTCAGTATTTTTCATAGTAGTTTTGTGGATCACCAGCATCAGAATCAACTGTGGTGCTTGACAAAAATGCAGTTTCCTGGTCTCAGTCCAGATCTACTAAATATGAATCTATGGAGTAGAGTCTGGCCATTCTTGTTGTTTTTAAACAAGCTTCTCATCTGATGTTCATGTGCACAAACATTTCTGAATCACAGATCAAAGAAAGTGATATATACAAAATGAAATTACAGAGTTGGGGGGGCTAATAAAAAAGTTATGGTAGTAGTCTAAACCAAATAAACCAAACCCATTGCTGTCAAGTCAATTCCGACTCATAGCAACCCTGCAGGACAGAGGAGAATTGCTCCATAGGTTTTCCAAGGGAACGGCTGGTGGATTCAAACTGCTGACCTTTTCATTAGCAGCCGTAGCTCTTAACTACTATGTAATAAGGATCTAAAATACTATGGTGACAATAAAAACAGGAAACAAGAAATTGATCTAAGACTTGATCAGGGCTGAAAGAAAGGACCTGAATGAAAAGAACTTGTTATATACCAAGGATCTGAGATGACAACAAACGCTGCTATCATGAACAGCAACAGATCACAAGGAACAGCCACTTTGCGACATGCTGAATCTGAGGTGATGAAAGGACACAGACGAGAATGCGTGTGTGTGTACACGTTACACGATACGAAAGCATGTTCTTTCCCATATAAGCTAGATATTTTCTCAAATCATTTTGTAGTTCCATAATTTGAGATGTCAATTATAAATATTCACTGTTTCTATTATCTGGCTAATACCCCAGGTCTGCAAACTCATGTTATCAAAATAGCCTACAGTACACAAATAAAATTTTTAGAGAAGATTTTAATAATGCAGATAAGATGCCATTTCATAATCTTTTTTGAACAATACGAATGCAGGCATATATAATGAGAAGGTCAAAAGGCCTTAAGTGGAAAACCCTCCCTGCTCTGGAGGCGGGATTTGTTCTACAAAGCCTCCTGTCATGCCAGTGGCTAACTAGACAAGTTGGAGGTTCTTCCTCCCTCTGACATGTGCTTTAGTTGCAGCAGAAAGGAAATGTGTCATCCATCTGTGGTTTGGTTTTAAAAGTGGAAAGCTAGCTGTACATATTCTTTTTTACTGCCGATTTACTTTAAGGTTCATAATCTCCAAGTCTATTCTGCTTTAAATTACTTGGAAGCTGAGCTTCAAGACAAGAAAAGACGTGGTTTATTAAAATCACATTATAAACAGATTTTGACCAAGCATTTCATAAGGTAGGTCATATATACAGCTTTTCTTACGCCTTTTCACTTATAACTTTGTACAGATTCATGTTCAAGGAACTGCTTTCAAATAGTACTTAAGAATCTCACTAACAAAGTAGAATCATAAGTGATTAAAAATGTATACTATTTTTCTTTTCTGTCCTGTTAAGTAAAACTTAAGTTAGAAGTGGAAAGATTTACAATCAACATGGAATTTTAAATTAAGATTAGGAAGGATCTGGGTTTGGATTCCACAAATTAACTGCAATGTCTTACTTGGGAAAAAAAAAGTTAAAAAAATAAATTTCTCATGACTAATGCTTAGGCACTATGAATTTTTTTGAGGATGACCAGACATAAAGAAACGATAACATAACCTAGCCTCCACGGCATACATTAGGGATGTAAAGATAGTCCTCAATTCTCAGGCATTTGTAAGGATAAGAGAAAGTCTCATTTTATTTGGGGGTGGCAGTACATCTGGCTGAAGACAATCAACAGCGGGCCTATTATCTGTCCTGTGGTAAGCACTGCTAAAATGTGTACGAATGCTATGATGCATACTACATTGTTAACGAACTAACGTGACAAGAATAAACCGAAAACAAAAAACAAACAAAAAAAAAACTCACTGCCATCGAGTCGATTAAATAAATGTTAACAATAAAATATTCTTGTAAAATTAAGCTCATTCAAATTGGTAAATTATTATAAAAGAGATATCTCAGTGGTGGTGATAAATCTTTCCTGTTAGATTACCAGTACCTATAATAAATATGCCAGTTCTATTTAAATCTTTAACCATACAGTGAATAATAAGAATTATGAATAGAACTTGTCTGTCCCCTTTTTGTACTGGAGCTTCCAAGGAGCTCAGAGCCAAAATTGAAACTCAACTTTTTCTATTAATTTTGAAACTCGTATGGTCTGTCTTGTTTTTCTATTTCATTCTAAATCCCCATGATCCTGATACTCTATTTCTTTTTAATTATTTTAACTGCTAGGTATAAATGATGATGAACAAAAATCAGTAACTTTTGTTGAACTTCTGAGATTATTAAAAAAAAAAAATCTGCTTCTCTTTCTTCATAATGCCAAGTTTTTAGGTTGGACTAGCATGTCTTTGCTTTCAGAAAGCCACTGTAACACAGGGGAAATAGAGGTGAAAAGAGAGCCACCACCATAAAACTGCTTTCACAAATACAGGGAATATATTTCTAAGTATCTGCTTTATTCTGTGCTTTAAGATAAACACCCAAGAAACAAAAAGAATACCCCCAATTCCTATTTGAAGTCCATTTTTCTTTTGATTGTTCCTTCTCAGCTTCCCCCCCCCCTCCAAAGAAGCCATACATGAAGCAAAATGCTTCATGGCCACATTTCTCTTTTACCATAAAGACTGGTGACACATTTGTTAAAGGGTGGGGAGTTTCTACAAGAATGTCCTTCAATTATTTTTTTTTAAAGGTAGAATCAAAGAAGTAAAAGCAGAAGTATCTAACTCAAACAAACATGAAGTCTAGCAAGCTTGAAAGGAAGAAGACTACATAAAGCCATAGTATTCAGTTTTAAATGATCAATAATAGCCACTTGTAATGCTAACTTCTAGCATCTAAAAATGTAACAGAAATTAAAATGTTTCTTTACACAAAGCCTTAGAATAACAGAAAGCAAATTTCAGTTGAGCAGGATAGCAAATGTTAGGCATGAGTTTATAGCTCTCAGCTACAATTACCAAAACTTCTTAGAAAACTTTATTCTTTCACAAATTAACAAATTACACTGCTATCTCAACAGATTACCAGTATACTCAAGGACATGAAACTCACAGGACATTACCTGCATCTTGCCTGGCTGATGACAACAGTTTTTTTTCTGTCCCCTGGAACAAAAGCAAACTATGCCCATCTGTGGGCTAACAATACTATCTGGGATCCAGTTATTCAAAACAAGACAGGCAAAAACCAAGATGAAAACATTAACACAAACCCTATAACTCCTGAAGTAAACTATAAAGGTAATTCTACAAGCAAGCCTGAAATAGCAACATCATCTCACATCATATCTTTAACTCCTAAATCTGAACAGATTTATACACTTTCTGTTCTCAGGAACAGTTCTCCACCAGTACAGAACACTGAAAACACAAGCAAAAGTCACAGTGAAATTCTCAAAAAGGATGTCTGTGATGAAAACAACAACAAAACAGCCATGCTAATTTGCTTCATTATAATTGCAGTGCTTTTTCTTGTCTGTACGCTTCTATTTCTATCAACTGTGATTCTGGCAAACAAAGTCTCATCTCTCAGACGATCAAAACAAGCAGGCAAGCGTCAGCCTAGAAGCAATGGCGATTTTCTGGCAAGCAGTGGTCTATGGCCTGCTGAATCAGACACTTGGAAAAGAGCAAAACAGCTTACGGGGCCCAATCTAATGATGCAATCCACTGGAGCGCTCACAGCTACAAGGGAAAGAAAAGATGAAGAAGGAACTGAAACACTTACTAACAGATGCTTTAATGAAGAAAAATGCAAAGTAGCAATGAGAAAGACTATGGAGTAAAAATGAAGTCAGCCTGGTATTTATTGCCGGAGTGTTGGTCTAGTGGTCTAAAATTTGACATGTCAGGCCTTACAATTCAGAATGAAGTGGTGGGAAGGGCAGAGGCATGGCTGCTTACTTCTTACTTAAATTGTGCACTTATGTCTTGACACTGAATATTTTAAACGGCAAATAATAAAGCAAGCATTTGGGGAAGGTTTGTAAGATGAGTCGAGGGAGCTGGCCAGAAGAGGTAGAAAGGGATAATTAAATAAGTATTCTCTATTCAGCAACAGTTGTTAGATGATCTTTCCTTGAATGTAATTAAACTTAGAGTTTAGAGCCAAGCATATGCTTCAACATCTAATAGAAGTTGAATTCCTAACGTATAGAGTTGAACTGTATAGTTTTAATGGTACTTTCTTTGCCGGATGTGGCAGAATCCATACCAGCTCCTATTTCAACACAGCTAATTTTAGGCTAGATGTTTTCATCTTTACATATGGCACACAAAAGAAAATGTTTCTCTACTATAAATATTAAATTAAACCTTTTAATTTTGTATAGTGAATTAAGACTAGTTAAAATAAAACTGTGTGTATATTAATACTTGTACTTACTTTACTCTCTTAGAGAACACATTGTAAAGATCAATAGGAAACAGGGCACAACTAAAATAGATGAGACTTATGGCCACATCAGAAGGCTAACTGTAAATATAAAATACGCCTTACTGTTTAAGTTGTAACGTGCATCTTTTCTATAAATGCTCATTGAAGTAGTAATAGCAAATATCCAAAGCTTGCCTAATTTTTGGGCTTCAAGGGTGCAAAAGTGGCCTAAAAGATGACCAATTTTATGTTTTATATCTACTATTTAAATTTTCAGTAATATCCAGTGACATGAGAAAAAGAAGGTGTGTGAGTGTGTGTGTTGATCAAGTATGGAAAAAACCAAAGGCTTTAGATAATTATTTACACCTTTAAAAAAATTAGCTTTAAGTAAAATAACGACAGATTTAAATCAAGACTTCCATCTTCAATTAAATATATTACAAAAGTTAATTTGAGAGACTTTCCAACTATCTACTGAAACTGACACAGGGCATACTAATTGAAGACTAGGCTACATTTTTAAAACTTTCATGCCTTACTGAACATTTATTTTGGGCAACAGGTCAGCTTTTTCTTTCTTTTTTTGCAAGTATGACCACAATCTTACTCTCCCTTCTAGGTTAGTGATTCTCACCCTGTCTGCATATCAGAATCACCGGAAAAGCTTTTAAAAAACACCAATGCCTAATTCTTCTCCCTCTCTCACTTCTGATTCAATTGGAGTGAGTGAGTTTCAGGCACTGGCAATTTTTGCAAAACTCTCTAGGTGATACTGCTCTTGGTCATCAAATTTACTTCTTCAAAGTTCTGTGGCCCCAAAGATCTAGATTACATTTTAAAATGAGGAGAAAAAATAAAGATAATTTTATTACAATTTACTGCCAATTAGTCAAAAAATTCATTCCCTAAACAAATTATAACCATGTTATCCCAGCTAAACGCCAGCAAAGTAAAAAGGAAAGCAAGAGAATACTCAGGAGCCTGAGCTGCAGTGGACTATGCCAATCATGGTGACATCGGATTATCTTTTGAGGGGTAAAAAATGGTCCGGGCTGCAAATGAAACTGGGCAAAGCTCCCTATTTTGTGCAAATTAAAAATCTGAGATTGCACACCAGAACAAATAGTGATAACTGCAAAGTACTCCTTGAATCAAGTATTGTAAATAAATACTTGCCAGAGGAAGTTAAAACCATTAGTATCATTTTAAAAATAATTAACTAGACAACTACTTTTATATTCAACATACAGGTCAAATATTTTCTCACAAAACAGGACATTTCCACTGGCAGGAATATTTAAAATTCAGCACTGCTACTTGGTTATTAAAATATTCACCATCAGAATGATACCATCCAATGACAGCTCATGAACGTAACAGCAAGCACTTCCTGCAAACTTGACGGGTATGTAAAGACGATAGGTAAGATATCTTTGAGTTCAAATTAAATCAGTCATTATTAAACAAAAAAAAAAACTAATTTATTTTCTACCCCTGAATTTTATGGTCCACCAGATTAATTCAAGGATTTTTAAATAGCGATTCAAAAAGTTTTATAGCATTTTGATTACATTCCGCCATATATTATGCCCCCTTTAAAAAACAAAAAAGTGTTTCCTTTCATACCAAGTTATAAGTATCTTGAAGTTAAGAACTAGGTCTACCCTCAAGAAGACTGGAAGAGAAGAGAAGTTCCTCGATATGATTCTGGGCATATATGAAAAACCAACAGTCAACATTATACTTAACGGAGAAAGACTGAGAGCTTTCCCCTTGAATTTAGGAGCAAGACAAGGGTGCCTGCTTTCAGCATTTCTATTCAATATTATATTAGTAGTTCTAGCCAGAGCAATAAGACAAGAAAAAGAAACAAAAGGTATCCATATTGGAAAAGAAGTAGTAAAATTATTATCCTCTATTTGAGGATGACATGCTTGTTTATATAGATAATCTAAGAGTCCGCAAGAAAACTTCTAGAGCTAATAAGGAATTTAGCAAAGTTGCAGGGTACAAACAAAAATCAGATGAGTTTCTACACAAAGGGAAATTATGGAAATAATTCTATTTACTATATAGCATCTAAGAGAATAAAACACCTAAGAATAAATTTAACCAAGGATGTGAAAGATTTATACAATAAAAGCTATAAAACACTGCTGAAAGAAATTAAAGAAGACTTAAATAAATGGAAAGATGTTCTGTGTTCATCGACTGAAACACTTAATATTAAGATGTCAATATTACCCAAACCAATTTATAGATTCACTGTGATCTTTATTTTTTTCCACACAAAAATTTATACATAGTTATGTGACTCTAATTGCTCTCCCCATAACTGTGACAGCACACTCCTCTTTTCCACCCCTGATTCCCCATGTCCATTCAACCAGCTCCTAACCCTCTCTGCCTTCCCATCTCACCTCTGGACAGAAGCTGCCTGTTTAGTCTTGTATCTACTTGAGCTAAGAGGCACACTCCTCACAAGTATCACTTACAAGATTCAATGTAATCTTGATAAAAAATCCAACAGCCTTCTTTACAGGAAGAGAAAAACCAATTCTCAACTTTATATGGAACGGCAAGAGGTCTCTGAGTAGCTAGAGCAATGTTGAAGGAGAAGAACAAAGTAGGAAGACTCACGCTTCCTGATTTAAAAAATATAATATAGGTACAGTAATCAAAACAGCCTGGTGTTGGTATAACAACAGACAAACAGATCAGTAGAATAGAATTGAAAGTCCAGAAGTAAACCCACATATCTGTGGTCAGCTGATTTTTGACAGGGGTGCTAAATCCATTTGATGGGAAAAGAAGAGTCTCTTCAATAAATACTGCTGGGAAAATTGGATTTCCACATGCAAAAAAATGAAACAGGATCCATGCCTCACACCATACACAAAAACAAATTCAAAATGGATTAAGGACCTAAATGTGCAAACTAAAATCATAAAATTTTTAGAAGAAAATGCTGGGGTAGTGCTGTAGGGCCTAGCTTTTAACAATGGATTATCTAATAAATAACAAAAGCACAAACAGCAAATGACAAAATAAATAAGACCTCATAAAAATTAAAAACTTTTGTTCATCAAAAGACTTTACCAAAAAAGCAAAAAGGCAAGCTACCAACTGGGAGAATATCTTTGGAAACTATACATTCGTTAAGAATCTAATAACTAAAATATATCTAAAACTCTGACAACATAACAACAAAAAGACAAATAACCCAATCATAAAATGGGCAAAGAGCCTGAATAGACATTTCACCAAAGAGGACATTCAAATGGACACCAAGCACATGAAAAGATGCTCAACGTCATTAGCTATCAGAGATGCAAATCATAACCTCAACGAGATACCATTTCACTTCCACGAGGATGGCTAAGATAAAAACAAAAAACAAAACAACAGAAAATAACAAATACTGGCAAGGATGTGGGGAAACTGGAACTCTTGTCCATTGCTGGTGGGAATGCAAAATGGTATAGCTGTTGTAGAAAACAGTGTGGCGGTTCCTCAAAAAAACTAAAAATAGAGCTACTATATGACCCAGCAATTCCACTCCTAGGTATACCCTAAAGAGTTGAAAGCAGAGACTCAGACAGAGACTTGTATACCTATGTTCACTGCAGCACTATTAACACTAGCCAAAAGGTGGAAACAACCTAAATGTCCATCAACAGATGAATGGATAAACAAAATGTGTATGTACACACAACAGAACACTACTCAGCCAGTAGGAGAAATGAAGTCTTGATACATGCTATGGTATGGATGGAGTTTGAAGACATTACGCAGAGTGAAATAAGTCAATTACAAAAGGATAAATATTATACGACCTCACTTATATAAAAAGACAAGAAAAGGCTATTGTATAGAGACCAAAGTTTACTAGGGGTGGGAGGAAAGCGGCAAGGGGAAAAGGAAGGGTTATTGTTTATGTAGTACTGAGTTTCAGTTTGTGGTGATAGAAAAATCAGATTGATTTAGGGCAGGGTTGCACAGTCAATTAATGTAACTGCTGTCAATAAGCAGTACACCTGTAAAAAGCTGAATTAGCAAGAGTTGTATGATATATTTACAACCACAACAAAAAAAAGAGGCTGATGAGGCTGCTTATGTACAACCAAACACATCATGGGATTTGACTTCTTGGTTTGGAGGTTTAGGGTCATGGTTTCATGGGACATCCCAGTTAACTGGCCTAATAATGTGTTTAGCGCTTCTTTTCTACCTCCTAGTTTGTTGTGTAGTGCCTGGGGCCTTAAAAGCTTGCAAAAGGCCATCCAAGGCACAGCAGTTGGCTTCTATTCACCTGAAGCATCAGAAGGAGTCAGGAATGTGAGTCGGAAATGGAATGTGTGGCTAAGTGACTTCATGAACAACTGCCTCCTTGGCCATGAGACCAGAAGAACTGGATGGTGCCCAGTTACCATTACTGAACATTCTGATCAAAGATTATATAGAGAAATCCTGATCAAAATGGGGAACATGCAGAAGAGAATTTCAAATTCTCATGGAATCCAGATTTTCTAGAGCCATGGAGGCTGGATGAATCCCTGAAACTATTTTCCCGAGATAAAATTTAAATCTTAAACCTTAAACCAAAAATATCCCCTGAAGTCTTCTGTCTCTTAAAACTAAATAATATTTTAGCTTAACTAGTAAAGAATGTCTGCCTGAGCATTGTGCTCTTTTAAGATCTATCTATATGGAATCAAATTGACAACAGCAACTCAAAAGATTAAATGGGGGGCAGTGAGTTAATGGGGGAGAAACAATTTAGAAAAGGAGGGTAAAAATGGTTGCATAACTCAAAGAATGTAATCAATGTCAATGAACTGTACATGCAGAAATTGTTGAATTTGTGTATGGTCTGCTGTGTGTATTAAATAAATTACATATGTATTTACATAAAAACCAAACCTGTTGTCATCAAGTCCATTCCGACTCATAGTGACCTATGAGTATATATAAAAAACTAGGTCTTGACAATTTCTGTGCTCCTCTACAGTGACCAGGGGAAAGCAAAACCAGTTGCTCTCGAAGTCTACTCAGACTTATGTAGGCAAGGATTAATATTTATTTTATCTATTACAATTGGCACTATGCTAGGCACTTTATATTTATTTAATCCCCATAATAAGCTTGTAAATTAGGAATTATAACCTCCCTTGTTCAGATGAGGAAAGAGGCTAGAAGACTAAGTGACTTGCCCAAAGAAATTTTTATTCAGACTGACTTATACTGTTTTCAATACACTTTGCTTAGTAAACTCTTATTTAAAAAATGATTCCCAACTTGTTTTAATTTCCACTGAGAAGCACCTACTTTGTGGGTACATCAAATAAACAGTTGTGGACTTGAACTAAAAAAACCACTTAGTAAAGTATTTGGTCAAAATAATTTAAATATATTTTAATCTGGTTTTTGCCTAAATTATGTACGAGGAAATAACCTTAACTTTTACTGGCTACCTAATGTGTGGGAAGCATTTATACATGTTCTTATTTAATCCACACAACAACCCAATAAAGGGACTATTACACCAGAGAGGGAAATGGTGGCTCAGAAGTACAGCAACTTGCCTAAGGTTATACAAATAAACAGAACACATCATTCACTTCTTACGAAAAATATCTTGCTATGAGTGATCATTCACTGCTTTTCCTCAGAATACACAATTTTTCTCTCCAGGGCTCCATTCTAGATATTTAAATTATATAATCCTATTATTAGAGAGTCTCAAATGTTTACTCAGACAAACATCAATTAAAAGCAATGAAATCATGTAGCTCCAAATTGTGTTTCAAAATAAGTTTTGTTAAACTAGTGCATTTCTTAGTCATTTTGTGGCTTATTCCACTTCCGGAACTATTGATAAACTTCCTCTTTTTCTACAGAAACCATTTCAGTCTGCTAGGGGACCATTTTTAATCTGAACTGAACCACTCCTTTTGCTTTCTTAGTCAAATCACCAAAATGTCCAGTTAGAACAAGAATTTAGCGTTCTACAAAAGAAGTTAACAGCTGAGGTAAGAAAATTTTCACACAGGCAATCTGGTTTGATTTTACTTTATGTAAAATTTATTTTATAAACTAACAATGTCATTAGTATTTTAAACCTAAGTTAAACAACTCTGATAAAGATGTCTATAACAGGGCTTGTGGTTTTATTGCATGGAAAATACTGTGCTGAGTTTGCCCTGGAGAAATATTTTTACCTAGGTTTTTATAATATAAGCCCTTTTAGGTTTATTCAATCACAATGTTTGTTAACCTGAGTTCTGTAATTAATAGAATATAAACTATAGCCTTCGCAGATAAAGCTAAATGGTGAGATACAGAACTAGAATCCACGGGATATGACTGAATTTAAAATCTCCAAAATACTAATCACTAAAAATTCTGATTTGCTTTCTATAAAATTTTCCTGTATATAATCTATACATTAAAACTTTTTAAATCTTTAGTTTCCAAAGTAAGAATAGTCACCTTCACTTAATTAAAAAAATAAAATCAAAGGAAATTAGATGATGTACATAATTATAATTATTATATATGCTTTATTTTTTACAGAAATAGAACTTTTGAAGTAGCAATAAGATGAAAATATTATAGCTCATTTTTAAAACTTGCTAAGACAAAAATGTTATGAGAAAATGTGTTACATACAACCACATCATCTATAGATTTATGTGACATATGTTATCTGAGCCTTTGGTAAACAGTACAAGATAGACGTAAGGAAAAAATCTTTGTTAACACCCACAGAACAAACAATAGAAACTGCTACTATGCATAAAAGATGCCTACTCCTTCAGTAAACTGCAATTACTAAGTAAATACTCTCCAAAATAAAAATTATGAAAAGTCTATATAGACCTGTAATTTCAAGAGATAATAAATTCATAGAGGGTAATAACAATACTATTTTGACACTTCATATAAATACTAATAACTTTCCCTTATGCAAGTCAATATTACAGATGTCAGAAAATAAAAGATTTTTATCTCCTTTACAGATAGGGTTTCTCTATATATTTCTCAAGGGGCAGTCCTAAATTTAAAGTTTAATAGTGCTTGTGTTTCTCAATTAAATTCTACATAATTCTACTTAGAAGGAATTTATGAATTCTGGAAAGAGTCTGAATTTGCTCAATACAAATCCGAGGCCCATCAATGTCCTATCTTCTAAAAACCACCTCAAAATTCATCCGTAAACTTACTAAATATGACAGTTCATAGGTTAATTTCCCCTCTCCCCCACAGAATCACAGGACTAAAATGGATTTTCTGGTAGTTATTTTCCTACCCTTTACTACCTGTTAGTTACAAGTTACTTACGTATCTGTTCCCAGAGAGCTTACATCTCCTTCCTTCATAAAGAATTCCTACTTCATAATCTTACTATGAAAGGCAGTGTAGCATATATAGTGAAGTATAATAGAAGAAATGGGCTATGGTACAAGATTGGCATGGTTTCCGTACCAGTGCCACTACTTAAAGCTATAACACTTTCGCAACTTACCCAACTTTCTGAGTCTTAGTTTCTTTCTCTGTGAGATGAAGATACTACCACCTAGCTTATTAAAATAGGACTGTGCCTAGCATTTAGTGGGTGCTCAACAAACGGTAGCTACTGCTATTGATAAAAGATGGGTATCGAATACTCCCTATTATAGTTCAAGGTCAACTTCCCTCTGAGATCTTCCTCAAGATATAAAATTGCTCTTTTTCTTCCTTTTATGGTTTCAAAACTACATTAACCACATTATACTACCAAATTTTAATCTATTATATCTGAATTATTACTTACTTTTGTGCTATTAAAGTAACTGGAATACACATATTTTTGATACTGCCATCTACTCCTGCATTTTGGTCTGTGATATCATCTCCAAATCTCCTTGATACCCTTTAAAAGACAGTGACATATTTCTTACCGTATCTCACTTAGCATCAATTTTAACTGCTGGATCCTTTATATATTTAAGCATTATGTTTATGAGAACATGTCTAATACATGGAGACTCTTGCTTCACTGTAATTGCCTTTAAAATGCTTAGTTAAAACAGCCTATGTTTTTCTTCTTTTTAGAAAATTTTAAATATTCAGGAAAAGCAAAGGACTAAAATCAAGAAGTGCCAGTCTAAGATAATGCATAAAATATTGCCATCTGAAGGTTGCCAGATTTGGAATTTGCCTGAGTTGCAGACATAGGGATTTCTAGAAAAATCCCACATAGCGAGTATACAGATTCTTTGGAGTAAATAGCAGATATGATTCTGGATAATACCAGGAAAAATCACAGAGAGAGAGAATCTCAAAGACACTTACAGCAGACAGGAGAGCCTGAAATGAAAGATAAATGAGTTTGAGAAGATGGGTCATTTAAGTCCTCCATTTTAGAAAGCGTTTCTCTTCACGGATTCCCTGCATTCACAAGTACAGGCCAATGACAGAGTGCATTATGTGGTTGCTTCTTTCATCCACTTCAGTCTTCTCTCCCAAATTCTTTCTAATCATGAAACCACCATTTTCTTCCATCTTTCCATTAACTTTTCTTCTTTTCAATATCTTCTTTGGTCAACTGACCTACCCTTTTTTCTGTATATTTGATGCTTACTATAATGTTTGTTTTAGCATGTACTGTAATTTTTGTTTAGTATGTACTTTTGTACTATCTTGTTTTTCCTATACACGCCCTTTTTATTTCATTTTATCCTAAATTTTCTTCTTTTTACTCCCTTGTCCCATATTCTTTCTTTATGCCTTATTTCCTTGCAGAAATAACTTCAGGTATACACCGTTATATATTTGTCGAATACATACATTAAATAACTTACCACACCTGCTAACGATACTGGCCTCAATATCTCTGAGCTGAAAAAGTTTCTTCACTATTACACCCTCTATTCTTCCATTTGAAAAATCATGCTCCTTTATTTTCTGGATTATTCTGAATTGCTACAGTAGGATTCTAACACAGATTCTAGCATCCTGAAGTAGCAGATCCTAGGAGGGTAGACAGCTAACTGAAAAGTGGGAGAAAGAGGTAGGATAGGCAAAAAATGGAACTGGTTTTAATACCACCATAACCCTTAAATGACAAATAAAAACCTCATACACTGAATGACTTGCCAACTTCCTGTTTACAAAAGAGGATGTGAACCTATCAAAATTAATCTTACAAACCTAAACTGGGTTTATAATTACGTTCCTGCTTGGGTTCTTCCTTTTCCAATGCTTTTTTCAACTAACTGAAAAGAGGAAAGAGTATGGTTTCTTTACTTTAAGCTATGTAGCAAAAGAGGAAACATTTTTGGCTGAAGACAATTTGTGGCCTATACTTTCTGTTGCTTTGAATAGTATTTTTTTTTTTTTTAAATAAAAATGAAACTGTGAAGAATAATGTTTTCTAATGAAGCTCCCCGCCCCGCTTTTATAATCTTTAAGAATAATGGGGAGGAACTGAATGGATGATGACCACCTAAAGATGATTCAAATTCCCATATCTATGCCAAAAGTTTCAACTGTTTTCCCTATTAAACCTTTTGCAAAATGGATAAAAACAGAATTTACTGACTTAGATTTTACTGTCATAAACAGTAAAAAAGTAAAACGAAAAGGAACCAAGAAGCCTAACCAAGCCCCTACACACACACACACACACACACACACACACACACACACACACACAGCCCTGGTGGCACAATGGTTAAGAGCTCGGCTGCTAACCAAAACGTCGGCAGTTCAAATCCACCAGCTGCTACTTGGAAACCCTATGGGCAGTTCTACTCTGTCCTATAGGGTCACTATGAGTCTGAATTGACTTGACGGCAACAGTTCTTGATATTTATACACGCGTGTGTGTGTATATATATATATATATACATATATACAGACATACACACACACATATCCCACTATGCTGTAGAGGAATCAAAATATAAAAACATGAGGCAGTATGGGTTAGCTGAAAGAACATAGAGCCTATGATTTGGAAACAAATGATCCTAACAAATTCCTAACCTTATTACTGATCGTGATATAACCTTGGGGAAATTATTTATCTGTTTATCTGTAAATCAAGGATACCTCCACCTTCCTCACAGTCATTAAAGGTTTTAAATGAAACAAAGTTTTAAAATGAATACAACACCTGGTACAGCCCAGCACAGAGAATGTCCTAGATAAGTTTTTTTTTTTTTTCCCCATTTCCTTCCACTTTCTTTAGGGTTCTTTATGATCTTGTTTGAGGGAGTAAGAGTAATCAAAAGAAAATGAAAAGTAATAAAAAATAAACACAACTATTTAAGAGAATAAAAGAGTGAATGAGGTACATACATTTTGAATTATCTAAGGAACCATAAAGACAATAAAAACTAGGGGGATTCAGAGAGGGTTGATCTGTTTGGGCTGTGTGGTCTGTCACAGAGAACTTGGTTTAGGAAGGGGAATTTAAACTGAGGTCCAAAAGATGAAAACAAGTTTAGATAGGCAGTCAGAAGTGGGAAGAAACTGGGTTTGGAAAAAGGAACACACCCTAGGTGAGTGAAAAGCAGCATAAACGAGCAAATAGTAAGGAGGGGAAGGGGTGCAATCTGGCTGCAGGAGAAGTTTCAATCATAAGACATTGAGTCTGAACTGGTAAACTTAAGCCAGATGGAGGAAAACTCAGAAAATAACCATTTAAAAAGTTTAGGATTTTATCTTGAAGGCAACAGGGAACTCTCAAACAGGGAATCATACATGCATTTAAGACAAATTCATCAGTGGTACATAGGGCAGTTTAAAAGAGAATTATTTTAAAGTTTAGGCTTGAAGTATCAGCAAATAAAAAGGAAGAGGTAGTACAGGAAAAAAATCAGAGTCATTTATTATCACTATGTACCAAGTGGTAGAAGAGTAAGCAATGAAAAGTACCCAAGTATGCTCAACTTGGTGGGGGTGGCAGGGGACTCCTCCTCACCTTTTACTGTACCTTGCAACAGGACATCAACTCTCTCTCAGATTGGCCTACAAATCATAGATAAACTGTAGTTTCTAACCATGCCTCACCTACCATAGACACTAGGCTCTAACATCCTGAGATTTTTCTTTTCTTGATGTTAAGAAGTAACTGGAAAAAAAAAAGTCTTAGCATAAAATGCCTCACTTTAGACCACACACAGTGTCTACGTATATTTGAGAAGTATAACTGTGAAATGAAGCACTGTAATGTAATGAAGCTAGAGGGGCAGCAGGGCCAAGAACAGATTTCATAAAAGAATTAAGAGAGGTCCAAATGCTGTATGATCAGTTAAGAGTATATTCAAGGTTGTTTATACTAGTGTATGGTACATCAACTTCAAGTTTAGGAATAATAAATACTTATTAAATACCTACCTACTTTATGCCAGGCATTGTAATGAAAAGTCAAATACAACTTTAGACACCAAATAATACCTAATTGTCTTTCTTTTTTGTCTTTCACTGGTAAGGAGGAAACATTCTGAAATGGATCTCAAATATTTCATCTTAATTTTCTTTTGTGGATACCTGAACAATACATTTTCCTCAGAGACAGAGGCAGTTACAAGAAAGAAGCAGCCACAGTCGACTTTACTTACATTGCCAGTGTCGTATGTCTTGGCTAATTCTCAAAATATAACAGGGAATCCTTTGAGTCAACCAATTCAACAATTCAACATTTCTTCTGAACAACCACCACCACCTACCAAAGTCACTGCTGGAAAACCCACGTCAGCTGCCTATGTCTCTTCTGGAAAACCAGCAGCACACACTTCTGGGCAACTACCTGCCTATAATATCACCAGACAACCAATACCAATGGCCAACACCTTCCCCAGACAATCAGAACTACCACCATCTGCCCATACTTCCACCAGACAACCACCACCATCATCTGTCTACACCTCTACTCAACAGCCATCATTATCTGCTCATACCTCTTCTGGGAAACCAATCCCACTGACTGTTCATAGTCTAACCACACAACCAACTTCAAATGTCAAAAATCCACTCGTGATTACACCAGGATTCATCTTAGAAACTACCAAAATCAATTCTAACTTAACAGCTATAGTCAATTCTAATTTAACAGCTGCCATACTAGTTGCTGTAATTGTGATTTCTATGTTGGTGGCTATAATCATGATTGTACTATGGAAATGCTTGAGAAAACCAGTTTTGAATGATCAAAACTGGGCCGGTAGGTCTCCATTTGCCGACGGAGAAACCCCTGACATATGTATGGATAACATTAGAGAAAATGAAGTGCCTGGAAAACGTACGTCAATTGTTTCACTTATGACCTGGAAACCAAGCAAAAGCATGCTTTTAGCAGATGACTTAGAAATTAAGTTGTTTGAATCAAATGAAAACACTGATGATTCCAACAACCCCAAAACAGAAAAATCAAAAGATCAAGTTAATGGTACATCAGAGGATAGTGCTGATAGATCAACAATTGGCACTGCTGTTTCTTCTTCGGATGATGCAGATCTGCCTCTGCCACCTCCCCTTTTTGATTTGGAAGGACAGGAGAATAAGCAATCAGACAAACCCACAATGACAATTGTATCTCCTCTTCCAAATGATTCTACCAATCTCCCGCCACCTCCAGACTGTCTCAATCAAGCTTGTGAAGATCATAATTCTGAGATCAAACAGTCATTCTCACTTTCCCCCGACTCACTTAACTTGCCCTCACCACCAGTAGATTTTATGCAAAACCTGGAAGATTCCAACAATGAGATCCAGTGTGAGGAGTTCCCTATTCCTCTTGACTCTGATCAAGATCTCAATGAATCCCTGCCACTCCCACCTGCAGAATTATTATAAATATTACAACTTGCTTTGCAGATGATTTTCCATCCTTCTTAAAGGACTCTATCTTTTGTTTTTCTTCATGTGATGAAATGTATACAACGGCAACTTGTGGTCAATTTGGATTTTCATTCAGGAACTATGTGAAAACTGCTCAAAGACTATGCGTGTAGGTGAAACTAATTTGTTTTTTGGTGGGGGCGGTGAGTTTCTGGTGAAAATTTACATAGCAAGTTAGGTTCCTATCTGACAATTTCTGCACAACGTGCTCAATGACATTAGTTACATTTATCACAATGTGTTAACATTCTGTTTATTCCATTTCCACTACTCGTTTGCTTGCCCCCTTACCACTCATCTTTGTTTTTGAGTAATTATTGACCTTTTGGTTTCATACTGATGGTTTTTAAGCAGAGCACCGATCTTATGGGTAATACCCTTTATTTTGTGTGCCACTCTGCTATTTCACTAAAGGCTAATCTCAGAGGATAGGCTCAGTTCTAGGTTTACAGAGTGTCTCAGGGAGTCCTCTGTTCTTTACTGTTCCAGTTTGTCTGGACTTTTTTTTTTTTTTTTTAAAGAATTTGAGTTCTGCTGTACATTTTTCTCCCATTCTATCTGGCACCATCTATTGTGACCCTGGTCAGAACAGTCAGTGGCAGTAGCCTGGCACCATATAGTTCTTCTGGTGTCAGGGTAGATGAGGTTATAGCTCCTATAGACTTGTTTCTTTTCTGAGCTTTTGGTTACCTTCTTATTGTTTTGCTCCTGGCCAGTAGAGACCCACAGTTGTATCTTAGATGGCTGTTAGCAAGCTTTTAAGCCCTCAGATGCTACTCACTTCACTAGGATGCAGATGGTGATTTTCGTGAAGTATGTTATGTCAATTGACTGAGTTTATGCCATGAGACTATGGTCCTAGGCTTTCAAACACAGAAAATCAATCTTGGAAAGTGTCTGGTGATGTCTGTGGAGCAGCCGTATTTGTGTCTTCAATGAATGCATGTGCCTGCATCCACGTATTTATATTTACACATGCTATCTGTTCTATGTACATATCTGTATCCACCCTTATACCAATACGCCTATACCCATCCATATGTGCTCAAACATTTGTTTTTACTTTGGTCATGCTGTGTTCACTACATCCACATTCAGTGCTACTTTTCCCATCACCAAAAAAAAAGGAAAAAATAAGTCTCTACGATCTAAAGTGTACTTTTCCCTCGCCCTCCTCTCCAATGAACACTGGACTCTCTAAATGTATCTATTCTTGTCGTCTTACAAAAGAAGGATCATATATTTGTCCTTATATGCTTGACTTATTTCACTTAGCATTATGCCCTCCAGGTCCTTCCATTCTGTAATATGTTAGGTGAAACTCATTTAAAAAAAATTGTAATAGTGATCCATTTTTTGACTAAAAGTATACTACGTTTTACACATGTGGATGGTATATATGTCAATAACATAACCATTTTGGAAACAAGCAATCTACATATACTTAATATTACCCAATAGATACTTTTTTTTCTTGCAACCCTGTGTGTAAACTTACCTTGAATAAATAAAATTTTATTTTTCCATTTCAAAGTTCAGGAGGAGAGGGGAGAGAGAGGATGTGATTAAATATATACTCCCAAGTTCTAAAATAATACTCCAAATATTAAATGAATATGCTAAGTTTGTGGGGATGAGAAAATAAAATGCATGCTTGAGAACAGAGAAGTTTCCTTTTTGGTCTCATGGTTAACAGTAAAACAAACATAGTAAAACATAAAACTGGGCGTTGGGTTGGGGATATTTACCCTGAAAAAAAATATGGGCAAGCACCATAAAATGTAGACACCTTCCTATCTTATTGGGGGAAGCTTAAATTTTAAACTAGCCTCAAAAAAGTTTCTTCTTTATATGCCTTAAGCACCCAAACAAAATGAAGCCTTATAAAGGAAAAAACAAAAATCTGACAGCTTCATTCAGAATTTGAATGATTTTTCCAGGAAAAACAGATTGTATCAAAATATAGCTGTTCTCAATTTTCACTAAACTCCTACTTTCTGACACTCTACATTTAAGCTCCTAAACCACCTTTCTTATGCAGAAATTCATCTTTTCTCCATAACCTAACAACTGATGAATTTGAGATATCACAGAGTATAGGTGAGGTCTAACCTTTGCCAAGGTAGAGGTAGAGAGCGTATTTTTGTGCATTACCCCCAGCCCAACTTTAGGGAGAAACAGTCACTTAGAATGAAATGGGGTGGCCCTATTGACTGACAGCTTAGCCTTGGAAAAACCTCTTGTAGTTCTGAGATTTTCAGAAAGGAATAAATATTTGTAGCACTGCCTTCCAAGAGAAGTCCCTGGTTGGTGCTAACAGTTAAGCACTTGGCTGCTAACTGAATGGTTGGTGGTTCGAGTCCACCCAGAGGTACCTCAGAAAAAAGGCCTGGTGATCTACTTCCAAAAAATCAGACAATGAAAACCCTAAGGCGCACAGTTCTACTCTGACACACATGACTTGCCATGAGTTGGAAGTGACTCCACGGTAACTGGTGGTCTTTCAAGAGACTCACAAATTTCCGTCTTTAATAACAACTAGCAAGCTTCTGAACACTGAAATTTTATATACAATATTTCTCCTTAAATCTTTTAAACCATCCTTTACTGAACATTAAAACTTTTTATCTGCAGAAACACTTCCATGAGCTTCTTACTTATCTTAATAAGCATGATGTTTACTGTCATATCATGTTGGATCTTGATATGCATTGAATTGTGTCCCCCCAAAATAGGTGCTGTAAACCTAAACCTCTATGCCTGGGTTATAATCCTGTTTGGGAATGGGTTGTCTTTGCTATATTAATGAGACAGGATTAATGTAGGGTACGTCCTGAGTCAATCTCTTTTAAGATATAGAGGAGATTAAACAAGCAATCCAGAGAAGCAGAGATGGAAAACACAGATGCCAAACCATATGAAGATCGTTCAGGAGTAGAAGCTCAAAAGAGGCAAGGATCTTCCTCCAGAGCTGAGAGAGAGAGAAAGCCTTCCCCTAGAGCCAGCACCCTGAACTTGGACTTCTAGCCTCCCAAACTGTGGGAAAATAAATTTCTGTTTGTTAAAGTCAACCACTTACGGTATTTCTGTTACAGCAGCACTAGAGAACTAAGACAGTTCTCTTCTGTCTTCTACATTAAAAAGTTTCATTCATTTGTTCTTCAAAGTTGGAACTTTTAAGGCTAATTTACCCAGCAGCAATCAGAAGTTTGAGAGTTTCCTATCTTTTTTTTACTTTCAATTATTTTAGTTAGTGTAAATTAGGTATATATTTTACATTTGTCCAAGTCTTCAGATGTATCTTGAATCATCATAACCCTTCTCACTTTACACGTAAGACAGTTATTCAGAGGGCTCTTTCCACACTTTTCGTTTTCTTTTTCACCATCTTCTTTCCTGACCTCTCAAAGGATGGGCATTGGGAAACGCAGGGAAATACCAATCTCTGATAAATCATGAGCTGGCAACCTACTCAGTCTTGTCTGATTTCTTCAAACACTACAGGCAGCTTTTTTCCTTCTGTTCTTTGTACAACTGAACAGACTACTGGCAGTAGCTGATTTTTTTTTTTTTTTAAAGAAATTCTCTGCCAGGGGGAAAAATAATTCACATTTACTGCAGGCAATTTTCCCCCCACTGAGGTCAGTGGAAGCTCAGCGGCCAAACAGTAGCAATCCTTGCTTAATGAGCGGAAAGAAATGCAAGATAAAAATACAAGATAGAAGAAAATACCGGTACAAAGTAAAACCTGCAGAAAAGATGAAAGAATCAGGATCCCGAAGAGAAAGTTTATTTCATGAATATGGCAAAAAGAACAAGGAGCAGGGGAATAAAAGGAAGACTGAACTACATACCAGATGGTTACCAGTGGTGCTCTTAACAATTAGCATTAACCAAATTCAGAAAAAACCCCGAGGACTATTTAGTTCAACTCCTTCTGTTTAATAGTTGAGAAAAGAGGCCTAGAGAGTAAGTGTCTTGCTTGTCGTTGCTGTACGCCAGTGGGTCTATTCCAACTCACAGGGACCCTATAAGGACAGAGTAGAACAGCCCCATGCGGTTTCCTGGCTGTAATCCTTATGGAAGCAGATCGCCAAGTCTTTTCTCCCAAGGAGCAGTTGGCGGGTTCAAACCTTCCATCTTTAGATTAGCAGCCAAGCACTTAACCATTACCACCAGGGCTCCTTGTGACTTGCTTAAAAAAAAAAGAAAAAATACCCCAAACCCGTTGCCATTAAGTGATTCCAACTCATAGCGACCCTATAGGACAGAGCAGAACTGCCCGATAGGATTTCCAAGGCTGTACTATAGGGTCGCTGTGAGTTGGAATTCACTCGACAGCAACGGGTTTGGTTTTTCAGCAGGAATCTTGGAAGCAAACTGCCGTATCTTTCTCCCATGGAGCAGCTAGTGGGTTTGAACCACTGACTTTTCTGTTAGCAGCTGCATGCTTAACCACGGTGCCACCAGGGCTCCTACATGACTTGCTTAGGTGGTCCTAAAAGCTGAGTTTATTTCCTGAGCCATGGTTTAGCATTTTTTTCACTAATGCAGGACCGAAGAGAACCTACTTCATGCACCGAAATATATATATATCAAACACATATTTGGTGGTGGCAGAGAGTGTACAATGAAGTATATGTAATTGTTGTTGTTACCTACAACTGATCAAAAAATAAAGTGGCAAAATATTTGACCATCTATAATTAAAACCCTGTGGTACTGCTGTACGATTAGATAAACAGATCAATGGTACAGAATGGAAAGTCCAGAAATAGACTCAAATATCAAATCAGTGGGAAAAGTGTTGGGACAATTGGATAGACATTTGGGAAAGGATAAAACTGGATTTGTACTTCACACTACATTAGGATAAACACCAAATAGGCCAGAGATCTAAATATAAAACATGAAATCATACAAGTGATAGAAGAAAACGTGTGAACTTCTTTATAACCTAGAAGTGGGAAAAACTTTCTTAGCTGAGACTAAAAATCCTACAGCAAAAAAACAAAATTCCTTACAAGAAACTTCTAAATATAAAACAAAAGACAACAACACAAAAATCCACCATAAACTAAGTCAACAAATGGCAAACTGGAAAAAAATATTTGCAACTTAAAGTGCTAACATTTTTAAACTTCAAAAAGCTCCTAAATACAGAGAGAAAAGGTCCATATATACAACAGAAGAACGTGCAAAACATAAACACTCACCGAAGAAAAAATTTAAATGGTCCTTTAAAAAAGTATGTAAAGATGTACAACCTCTCTCATAAGGGAATACATTTTTTAATTACACCAAAATACTCCTTACCCATCAGAATTCACATAATCCAAAAGTTCAACAAAGTCTATGGTGAGGCTATGAAGAAATAGACATATACTGCTGGTAAGGACTACAAAAAAGGTATAGTCTAC